CCTTTCTACCTTAATTGATCTGTGTTATATGTGGGCTTCATGTTGTCCTTCCTGCTCATAGAAGGCTCATCAAGGAACAGTGCTATTTACGAGTTAAGGAAGCGCGTTAATTTATCGTCAGAGGCTACTGAAAATACTTTCGGATGATGCTTTGGTACACGAACCTGTATAGTCTTCCCAACTGCTCTTGTACTCAGCTGGTAACCAGCATTCAATCGGTCGGCCACCAAACATCTTCAAGCTGATGAGCACCTGAAACAGGGAGTTTTCCAAACTAGTGGTAGAAATGACAATGATAGAAAAAGAATTTGGTATGAGAGTAGGCAAATTGGACTAACAATCAGGTCGACACACTACAAGCCAGCTTATTCTATTTTTCAGTATGGTGCAAAAAATTATTCAATATCTTCCCCTGAAATCTGACGGTCTTATTGCAGAAATTGAGTTGGATTTCAGATTTGGCGCCTTGTTTGCTCACGAAAATCTTCTCGAGGAAGTGGATGTAGAAAAAGGACAATGGTTTGTGTGTGATGAGAATTATGAGGTGGATTAGGAAGAGTCATCGCACCCAAATTCTCACACGCTGTCCGTTTTGAATTTAATCACAACATGAACGGCCGCCCTCCGAAGCTGAGCAGAAGGAACCGCGCCGCTTGGGGATTGTAAGGCACAGTTCACGATAAAAATGGTTACTGAACCTTATCAATACTCAGTGGCACCCATGGGTGGTAGAAGGGACCCTCTCGCCCCCGCAATCCCGACGCTTAAGGCATAGTGGAAGCCCTGTTGCTGCCGTAATTGGCTTGTCCGCCCCTCGATCGATGTCGCGTCAGACGAGTGTCGAGGCGATACAGACTGCAAAATTCGTTCTAGGACCAACACACAAGCAACTGATCGCCGAGTGATGAGGCGATGTTTTGTACTATTCTTCTATTCGTCAATATTCTTCTTGCTGCTGTGATCCTTCATTAAACTTTCTACCCCAAGAGGCTGAAAAAAGTGCGCCATTTTTGCTGTTATTAGCGATTTCGTTAACTTATGCTTGTGAACGAATAAATGTCTGCTTACCGTAGTCTATTATTCGCACCAGGACCCACGCGTACGCAATGTCCCACATAACCCTCGTCCGAGCGCTCCGCTCCTCTTCATTTTTCTGGTCTCATTCTCGTCGAGTCCAATTTTCAACGATTTTGCGAAGCCCTTATTCACTTTTAAGGATTACACAAAATTATCGTGAACTGTGCCTTTAAGGAGATCGAGGAGCATGGAAGAAGGCAAAGAGCATCTGGCTTCGCTTTCACCTTTTCGACACAGCGGTCCTTCTTGCTATGACATACGCCTCAGAGACTTGAACTCTGCGACAGGCTGCCAGCAACACTCAACGCTCCCTGGAAAGGATGGTGCTCGGAATATCCCAATGAACGCAAGTGCAAAAGGAATCCGGAGTTCCAAGTTCCGTTAACGAACGAAGATCAGGGATGCCGATGATTACACCAGGAAGTCGAAGAGACTTTCAATTTACTGTCCTACTTCGAACGGGTACATATTTCGTGCAAACGCTACGCATAGTTTTCTTTGGGAACGAACACTCTTCCCATTATACACGTATTATATACATATGTATGTACTTCATACATACATATATGTATATCATACATCCGCTTCCAATACTTCATGCTAAATGGGGAGAAGTTGTTTTGAGAACGTTCTTTCAATACGCTTTTTTACGAAGAAGAGGTTGTTCTTACTGCTGTCAGTAGAAGAAAAGTGGTAGTGTAGTAGTAGTGCAGACGATCAAAGATATCATCATCAGCTTGAGGTTGGAGAAACGACAATGTGCCAACGATTTCCGCAAACACCATTCTGAAACAGTGCACAAATGAATCCTTTTACATTTTCAAATGAGCCTATTTATGAGTACACAAAAAATAAAGTGAAGGTCCTTGCGAAAATGGAAAGCAATTTCTACAGTATAAACGACAGAAAAGATCGTGATTGGAAGTAAAAAAAGATCTGACGAAGAATGGTTCCCTATAATGAAAGACAAATCCTTGGCTGAAGAATGTTTGAGGTGCACCGCATATCCAGTCTTTCAAATCCAGCGCCA